ATTTCGGGGTGCTCATTTAGGGGTGCTATGGGGTTCGTTTTGGGGTCTCTTTTTAGAGGTGCTGGGGGTTCATTTTGGGGTGATGCGGGTTCATTTTGGGGTCACGAGTTCATTTTAGGGCTTCTGAGGGGCTCATTTTGGGGTACCAGGAGTTCATTTTAGGGGTCCGGGGTTATTTCATTTTGGCGTGTTCATTTTAGGGTCCTGAGCTCATTTTAGGGCTTTTGGGGTTTCATTTTTGGGGTGCTCGGGGGTTCATTTTAGGGTCTCGTTTTGGGGTCCTGGGGTCCATTTTAGGGGCCTGAGCTCATTTTAGGGGTGCTCGTTCTGTGTTTTGGGGTTTCGGGTGCTCATTTAGGGGTGTTGTGGGGTTCGTTTTGGAGTCTCGTTTTTGGGGTTCTGGAGGTTCATTTTGGGGTACGGGGGGTTCATTTTGGGGTTTCTGGGCGTTCATTTTGGGGTCCATGGGCTCAGTTTGGGCCTCTGGGGCCTAAAAGAAAGCTAGTGCCAGCACCTCCAGCCCGCAGCACCCCGGGATTTTGGGGGAACCCCCAAACTGAGGCACCCCCTGAACCCCCCCTTTGTGTGACAGAGGGGACAAAGCAGGGGGTCAAAGGGGGGGAGGTGACAAAGTGTCGCTCGGGCGGCGCTAACGCGGCCTGGCACGGGCGGCAGCGCTGAGCCGGGGGCGCCGTGACCGGGGCGTGACACAGAGGGGACACAGGGGGGACACGGGGGGGACACAGAGGGGACACACAGAGGGGACACAGAGGGGACACAGAGGGGACACAGGGGGGACACAGAGGGGACACAGAGGGGACACGGGGGGGACACAGAGGGGACACAGGGGGGACACAGAGGGGACACAGGGGGGACACAGGGAGGACACAGAGGGGACACAGAGGTGACCGAAGGGTGACCCCATGAGGGGGCGGGGGGGGGGGGGGGGGGGAGGTGAGGCCGAGCCCCCCAGGGCCCGGGAATGGCGCGGGCAGCGGGGAATGGGGGGGACAGGGATGGGGACAGGGACGGGGATGGGGACAGGGACGGGGACGGGGACGGGGGACAGGGATGGGGACAGGGACAGGGACGGGGACGGGGACGGGACAGGAATGGGGACGGGGATGGGGACAGGGACAGGGATAAGGACAGGGACAGGAAGAACCTCCGGGTCCTCGCTCCCATCTCTGCGCTCCCTGGGAGATACCGAGATCCTCCCGATCCCCCCCTCCCGATCCCTCACGATCGGTCACGAATCCCCCCCGATCCTTCCCGATCCCTCCCGATCTTCCCCGATCATTCCCGATCCCTCACAAACCCCCCCGATCCTTCCGAACCTTCCCGATCCCTCCCGATCTTCCCCGATCCCTCCCGATCATTCCCGATCCCTCACGAACGCCCTCCAATCCTTCCGAACCTTCCCGATCCCCCCCGATCATTCCCGATCCCTCCCGATCTTCCCCGATCCCTCACGAACCCCCTCCAATCCTTCCGATCATTCCCGATCATTCCCGATCCCTCCCGATCCCCCCCGATCCCTCCCGATCATTCCCGATCCCCCCCGATCATTCCCGATCATTCCCGATCCCTCCCGATCCCCCCCGATCCCTCCCGATCATTCCCGATCCCTCCCGATCCCTCCCGATCCCTCCCGATCATTCCCGATCCCTCCCGATCCCTCCCGATCTCCCCCGATCATTCCCGATCCCGCTTCCAGCCGCACCCCGGGCCCGGCAATCCGGGATAAATCCCCGGAATCCTTTGGGATGAGCGCGCCCCGCGTTTTGGGGCTCCCCCTCTCCCCCCCGCCTTTGTCCCCGTGTCCCCCCCTGCCCGAATTTTCCCCGTTTTCCCCACAAATCCCCTTTTGAGGGCTCCAGGCACCCCAAAACCCCTGTGAAGCCCCCAAACACCCCAAATACCCCAAAACCGCGAGCACCCTGAGCACCCCAAAAACCTCGGAGAACACCCTCACGTGTCCTGAGCACCCCAAACACCCCAAAACTCCAGGTACGCCAAGCACC